TTATCTGTCCTAGTAGATCTCAACTTCGTCAAATGGAGTTTCTCGGTATCTATTTACATCATTGTAAATCGCCACTTTATTAAGTAGCGTATGAAGGTTGAGAGGAGGAGAGGAACAGTAAATACATTTGCCTAGAGAAATAAGAAGCCTTCAGGTATATGGTAGGGATGCATAGGTATCTCACAAACCTGGACTTATAACCTGAGAAATATTGTATCTATTGTACCAACTACAGTGAGAGCAAAGTAACAATAATAGGCAAAAGATATCTTGAAGACTTTTTAGATTATCTAATCTTGCGCTCTCTCTCTCACAAGAAGGTGGAAACTACCCCTTTATATACACTTCATCATTACATGAGCACTGCTTCATACTAAAGAAATCTAAAGAAGATACTAGAATACACTAGTATAATACATGGTCATGTGGCTGTGTCACATGACCGACACAGCCTCATCACCGGATAGGAAAGGAATAACATATTTTTCCAACATTGTGGGCAGTGACGGGGCCTGACCTGATTGCTTTAGAGCGAACACTACAGGGAGAGCTAAGTAAATTCGGATTTAAGAGATCTCCGTTTGGGGGAGAGGGTATAGAGGACCCCCTGAAAGCCCTGGATTGCAATATCTATACCCGCCATAGTGATGAGTGAGTGTTCTATACTTGAGTATATTGTGGACATGGTAGGTATGGCACGGCAGGTAGGGGGGGGAGGAAAGAAAGAAAGAAAGAAAAGTGAATAAAAAGATACTTTTAAATGCAGTAGTGTTCGTAGCCCCAAGCAGCTATAGTACGATATCAAATAAAATCAAGTCTATTTAGTAAGCCTCAATAGTAAGAAACCCGGGTGAACCAGGCAGGGTGAGTCTGATAGGAGAGGGGGAAATGTATGGCGTTTTTGGACGAAATGGCCCGGTCGGGTGTTTGGGTGGGGGAGGGGCATCCGAGCCTAGCACGGCACTGTAAGTGCGTTTTTTTGTGACCGGCCCGGTAAAGGGAAGCTCGCACCGCGAGGCTGGACGACTAGTTGGCTAGTTGGATGGGAAATGGGTACGGACAGGTAAAGTATGATAAGTTATTCTAGCTATTATAGTAAGGTGGGTCAATTCACTACTACTCGTACAGTGATACTGCTAGCGGCGATATGTGATGGTTTTACAGCATACGGGTATGCATGATACGTGCAGTGCATGCAGTACGCCTCTGGCTGAGTGCCGTACTCGAGTATTTGATCGCCTCAAGGCTTGGGTTGATAAGAAGTGTGATGCGCTTGGACTGATTAGTAATGGGTTGGACCACCTGCACCCATACAGTACCGTACCGGCCGGGGGCACAGTACTGTACTCGAGTACGTACAGTACAGTACAGTATGAGGTTGTCTTCAAAATTCGCTGACACCCCCCCACTTTACACCAAAAATGGGCATCTTCACTTTGCAAAATCTCAGCTCTGTCACCCTGTAAGAAAATATAAATCTTGCTAGAGTGTTTAGAGCCATCTAGATATCATCATTTGCAAGTGATGAGCTCTGTTGGTTGATGGCCATGGGGCAATACAAGAAGTAACAATTGTGGACAAAGGATACTTCAAATTTTATATAGGCTTCCCATACAAAAGGTACATCACAACTGCATCCAATCTGGCCATACGGCTCTCAGCCCTCAAGGTGAAGTGGAAAAATTGACATAATTTCTATGTAGAGATTCTAGGTAATTCCTACACAATGGAATTAATTTCCTAAATTCTCCATTGTTTTTGGATGAGTTGAGTGTGTTTAAAATCAGCTATTTTTGGTAGGTTACTGTACGAGTACACGAGTACAATGATGGTTTAATTCCGCCGGGCAGTAAGAGGGTAGAGTACTGTACCGGTAGCCAAGGCTGCCTTGTCGAATTGGTCACACGGGTAAGGGCTCTTTTTCATGTTTAGAGAGAGGCAGCTTCGCCATTGAAAAATTTCTCGCGAGGGGAAGGAATAGAGATTAAAGGGATGATCAACATATTATCCTTCGGAACAAAGCGAGCGGCTGTCCCCTACATGGTACTGTTCTAGTACTGTACAGCACCATTTGATCTGGAGGGTAACCCTGACCCTGGATTCCTTCCTTCTCATCATCATATCATATGCTCGAGTAGTCAGCGAGCGCATGATTTTGGGTTCCAGGGGTGGGCGCTCGAGTACGGTACCGTAGTATAGTCATACTCTAGTACTCGTACATCTAAGTCACTGGTCTGAGAAACGGAACTTTTGTTTTTCCGATTGGATACCGCCAAATTAATCTACCGGATCGCCAATATTAAGTTGTATTTATCCTCTTCGACACGACAGTATTCACTTTTATGCGTTATCGACGTTCGGCTTGAGCGGTAGCTTTTTGTGCTCTCAAAGGCTATGAGGGTACAGTACCGACATCCTACCCAGGTACACCCCTAAATCCACAATTCAAGCGCTCGTACGCAGAATCCAACAAGCGCCAAGGTTTTTGCAAGCACAATTATTACAGTGACCTTCGCCCGATGCCTCTTTGTGATAGATGAGATTAAATGGTAGAAGCAGAATAATGGCGAAAAAGAAGACGCTGACATACTCCCATTTCCCTGTACGAACACTTCAAGTCGGGCCACTGGCCACACGCAATGACTCAGGCGGGACTGACTCCATGCACCGATCACCGATCACCCCCCCTAAATCTAGCATGACCTGGATATTGGATCTAACCCTGCCGTTGTTTATGTTTGGGATTTTTGCTACAAATGATGTAGACTCTGCCCTTTCTGCGGACCGACTGTTGGGCGTTTTGCAAGGCTCTGTCAGCCCGACTGCTCGAATCACAACCAAAAAATATCGAAAGAGTAGAGAGCAAACGGGGTGGAAATGAAGGGTGTGACGGGGCTCAACATTGGTGAAAAGGGTGGAAGGAAAATGGGGGTCGATAGAAATAAGGTGATCACAGTACCTTGCAGCACTCGCACAATTTTTTGACTGCCGATCGCACCTTCATTCCACATACTTGATTGTGATTGTGATTGTGGGAAACCGTGTTCCAAGAGTGGTGGACAATTAGAGGTGTGATGTTTGTGTTTGAAACGAGAGGCCGAAAGGTGAGAGACAGAGTTAGCAAGGTCGAGAAGGGCTGCCTGCTTGTGGAGCGGGGCAGATTTTTTGGAATTGTGGATGGTGATGAGAAGGAATAGACCATGATGTAAGATTGTCGATAGAGGGCAAGACGAGTCCAGGGGGTTCTCCAAAGGTTGACAGCCGGCATTTAGGGAGTGAATGTGGACGGGTGAGAGCGAGGCGGAGGTGAGTACTTGCTGGGGTGGGGAGGAGTACGATGAGAGAGGGAAGGGTTTGGGTTGGTTCGTTGGCGACGTTCTGAGGCTTGGGTGCAGACTATTGTCGGTTATCGTAAGGTCTGCGGTAAGATGGTGGGGAAGAATTGGCATAGGCCAATGAAGCGGGGCAGTGTCTGGTGTCAAGAGAGTGACAGGAAAAGGGGAGGAAAAAAGAAAGTTTGATGGGGTTAAAGAAGGGATGAACCAGGAATCCATGATACCGCTAATGGTATCATAGATGAGAACACCAACGGGAGGAACGTGGAAGGAACAAACCTCCGATGAGCATCAACTTTCCCAGTATCCGGTGTTGGGTGCTGTCAGTTATCCTCACACCCGCCTCCGCCCACCCACCACCTCTTCCACCACCACCAACGACACCATCACCAACCACGGTATCATAACCGCATTTTCGCTTTTTCTGACGTGGGGGCTCACAGACATCGCAGCCAGCCGAATCCAACCAGAGGCTCTGCCCGCTTGCTTCACCGTCAGCATTATCGGATGAAGAAATAAGAAAAGGGAGAGAGATCCAAGCGAATGAGGGCCAAGATCACAATAGGCTTTGTGAATGGAATACTTATACTACTGTATGATACTTTCCTATGCTATGTTTCATTCCTGTCACTGGCTTAACCACTTGAAAAGTTCTATAAACATCACAGAACATTAACTGCCGTAGGTTTACTGTAGCAACAGCATCGTCAACATCATCACGGACGTGTCTCGTCTTCTCCTGACTCAACGCTTGGTCAATGTATTCAACGGTTTGTCACCTGTTCCCAGTTGCCCTCTTTTGCGGTCTGCAGCACGAGTATACTATTCCTATTATGTCTAATAGACAGGGCGAACGAATAGCTACTTGCGAGGGGGCGGAGCAATGCGCTGATCAGAATCATCCTCGGTTGTGGCTATTCCTAAGAAGGATGAGGAGGAGGGGGGGGGTACAGTAGGTAATCTATACTTGTTCCTATAGCACGCACACACTCACTCACCCACTCACCCACCCATTCACTCAAACCACTCACCCTCAACACTCAGACATCCTTTCACTCGTTCTCACCCACTCGCTCTCTCGCTCACCCTGTTCTCAGGGCTTCCAGATTTCGCTGTAATATCCTGAGAAACCGACCTGTTCCTCGGGTCCCCCTTCACAAACTACCCCCCTCACCCATGCCAGCACGACTGTGCCCTCAACCTGGCATCGCCCTCCTATCCCCCCATCTCTGAATTCACCCCACCACTAATACCTTGCATTGCCTGGCTAGATGCAACTCTGTCGCCTTTTGCACATCCTTCGGGACTTGCACTACCGTCCTGTCCCCGAGGTTGGTCTGGCTTAAGGTACAAACACCCTCTGCTGCTTTGGGTCATTCAACGAAAGATCAGACCCTGTATACACTCACTCAGCCGTACCCATCTCTTGATTTGATTCGCCTCGATTCTAGCAGGGAGTCCTTCGCACACTTTAAGTTATATCTAAGTCACAGGTTTTCGGATGAGTTCACAGATTATTAGTGTCCTTTTGGGACTCGCCTCATGAAGTGAAGAAATGCCTGCGTGCCTGCGTCAGCGAATGACACTCGCAAGGCACATATGTTTCTTGGTTCGTTCGCTTGAGCTACTTGCAGCCCATTACTTTTAACGTAGGAGGCCAGCGGCGGGGACCTCTAGGAAGGGAGAAGAAAGCACCACCATTGGCATACGCAAATAGAAGGAAAAGTGCCCATAAGTGCATTTTCTTCCCCATTGCTTTCCCTAGATATCATCTGGTCTTTCCACGCACCTATTACATCTCGCTAGCTACTCCAAATTAGGCTCGACGCAGGCTTGCCCAGTCATACCAAAAAATCAGTCAACGATATCGACTCTGCCCTCTCCGTTCTTCGTGCTGCTTGCTTGTCTCTTGTCACACGGTTTCAATTTGCCTTGACTTTTCGAACGTTGTTCCGAGTTCAAACTTCGGAGAAGCCGGCGGAGTGTGCGTTACATTTCGTGTTTCTGAAGCTATCAGAATGTGCGCTTCCTCTGCCATCCCCCTGACATAAATACTGCTCCCAATGTCCCATCTCGGGCCTCTTTTTGATCCCATACCACAAAGGAGTTTCGCTGCATCTACATACCTGCCAACGGAGCTTCCTTGAGATTTATTGAAGGTAAGATATATATCCTCAGAAACCTCGGACAATTCGAACCTTGTTAGACGATATCCAATATGATCGACAATATCCCAGCAGAGCTATTGCTCAATATCTTGTCCTATCTGGACAACCTAGAACCTATCTCCGGCGCAAGCCACTCCCTTTCCCTTGCTACTCGAGACTTCAGAACCCACGCACTGCGTACCCGCTTAGCTAGCATCAGTCATGTCGAGATTCTTATGCGCATATGGTCACCTCCGACCTTCTTTAGAAGAAGGGGAGGATATCCATACGGTTCTGGAGGCCATATCACTCGACCGCAAGATCTTCATGATATCCTCTGTGATCCCGATACGTTCAATCGAGTGGAGGCATACCTTGGAAGTTTAGAGAGGAGGGCTTGCGTTGCGGCTAGGATAGCGGAGTATGTTATGACGATCGTTTCGTTCAATTCACTCCGAACGAACGCAGAGAGACATTTCTACGCTATGAGGATAGTCCTCGAATTGTGGTCTCCCCAAGCACGATTCTCCCACGATGTTGACGGGCGCTGGCTCAATCTTGGCGACGATTCCGGTCTGCTAGATGTGCATATTCAAGACGCATACGTCTTGAACCTACCGAGGGATGTCCAAGCCGCAATGGTCACTGTTTATGATGCTCTTGCACAGAGTCTGCGGCCTCCCTTCTGTTCCACAAGTAGACGAAGACATGGAGGTAGAGCTTCGGAGGGGGAAGGAATCTGGTTGTATAGGTTGATCGTCAAGGTAAGATGCTTTCAAATCCTTTGTAAGTGCTGAGTATTGTGCATGGAACTAATACGACTGTCTTATGCTCTAGGAGGGAATGGATGCTGTCCTTGGTATGATTGAGCTGCGGAGCGATCGTTAGAAAGCAAAGCACCTCAGGGAGCGATCATATGAGCAAACTGTAACCCTACTAGATTGCAGATGATATCCGAAGGAGAAACCGATCAAACACTGCTACGAAAGGGACTGGGGTCGGGGGGGGATTTGCAATTTGAGAATTTGGATGAGGTTTTCCAGTTCTTTCTTTATTTTCTGATTTCTGAGCGACGCCATGACCCCTTGACGGGTATCTCCTTAATTACCTAGAACTCCCCACTACAATTTTTTTTTAATTGCATTCTATACTCTGTTCAGACCGGAGTTTCCGTTTTACTGGGCTCCACGGGTGTCTAGCACACCCCTACACCCGATTGGTTTCTCTCTTTACCGTTCCAAATCCGATTTGTCTGTTTTCACTACTTTGTAACCGGGTACGACCACGATGAGATCTAGATTCCTTTTTTACGTTTCCCCCCCACATTCTACATTAATTGTCCCAAGACGCATGAGTGGATCTCGTATTACACCACTCTACCACTTCATCTATGCGAAAATATGTACTTTAAATAATAAAAACCTTTCCCTCCCGGAATGACCTGAAGCAAACAGACAATCCTTCGAGAAGCTGATTCTTAAAGGGAAAATAAAATAAAGTAAAATAAGAAAGGCATTCTCATTCGCCCCCCGCCCCCCTTCACTTCCTCCCTTCCATTCATTCCCCCCCCACACCCCCACCGCTCGAGCACGAGCAAGCACTCAGCACCTCACATCACTTCACCCGGGATCCAGAAACTCCCCCTGTCCACCCAACTTCCTAGCGAAGAAGCAAATAAAAAAATCAGTTGAGTGCACTTTTCCTTGTTTTTCCAGCAGTCGACTACGCACCCACGCACCCACCGACCAAAGGGACGAAGAGCATAACCCAGACCCTCCGACCGAGCCCTAACATCGGGGTGAGTGACAGAATAAGGAAAAAATGACGGAACAGAGAGTGCCCGAATGACTTGCTTACCGGCCAAGTCCATCGCTGACTGACTACCTGAGCGGAAGATCCGGACGGCCCGGTGGCAGGCGAGCCCTGATCATAGAATATCACTCGTATCAGGCGATATTCTTTCCTTTTTTTGTTTGGTTGATGTCATATTATTGCATGCTAGGCTACCTAGGTATCGTGATGGTAGTGGCACATAACAGCATTCTTAAATTACCGAGGATAGTGATTATATTGCGTAGAAGGCCTCGGTAACGTAGTTGGCTTCAGGGGAGAGGGACGTGAAAGGTGCTGTTTGGTATTTCTTGGGGCTGCTGATGAGTCCGTCCGACGTGTGCTCTTGGGCGGAAACATCTGGCATGTATTGTATGGGACTGCCAGGATGGAGGGTCCGGTGGGTGGGTAGGTGGGTAGGAAGATTGGGTTTCGGGGGATGAGTTGGGGGAGCGGGTCCAGCTGGGTTGGTTCAGTCTGAGCTGGATTTTGCGGGGAGCTGGAGGGGGATGAGTAGATGGCCTAGATTATTATTTAGGTGTATGATAATTGCATCAAACCAAACTGCTAAACAAACTAACACCGGATGAACCCCGGATGATATGTAATGCAGGGCAACAAACAAATCAACAAACGGATTCAAAGAGATATATCAAAATTATGGCGATGGTGGAGAAAAAGGAAATAGGAAAGGAAGAAATAATGTGATATGATATAAGGAAAAGGAGGTTAACGAAAAGATGGAATAGTATGTATCAGATAAGGCGATGGGCCAGGTGACAAAGAAAAACCCCATATTGGCTTTAACTAAATAACTGGCTTAGTGTGTAATGAGAGGAGTGGGGAGGGAGGGGGGGTTGGAGAGAAATGGACGGAGGAAAGAAAATAATAAAAAAATTAAAAATAAAAAAGGATGGAAGGAAGGGAAAATTGTGACGAAAGGTGAACACACAGAATCTCACCTGTAGCTAGGCAACAGTTCTGTTGAAAATTCTCTTATTACTAGTCCTCCCTGTCCTCCAAACCACGTGTAACACAATCGCAGCCAAATGTGTCACACCAGTAACACAGGGTTACACAGGTACCGCCCTTCCGAGCTCCTGCCCCCCTTCTCCTCTCCCCCATGTCTTACCTCAGCCACCACACCGCGAGTGCTTCCATCAAGCCCCGTCCCCCCTCTCTCACTCCTTCTCACTGTGCACTTCTACTCGATCCTCTTCTTCCCCTCCTCCAAGTGAACCAATCTACCACTTCCTCCTGCGCCTGAATCACGCTCGCGAGCATTGCCGCCTCTACCGATCCACTTCCCAATGATTAGATCTTTCTTTGCACTTCTCAACTCCTCATTATACCCCTGCACTGCAAAACTTGGAGTGTTCAATCTTGGCCAGTTCACATAAAGTTTTCCATGCTTCGTGATGAAATTGGTTGCCCATAAGGCAACAGCAAGCCAGAAGAGAGCAAATATTCTCATGCTCAACGGGCTCTCGTCAGTAGTACGCGGCAACACAAAGGCCGCGAGTTCAAGAAGAATAGCCCCACAAAGAACATATGGAATGCTCTGAATCATTATCGGGCGGCGATCGATAAACAGTAGGGAGGACATGGAGGTTGACGAGGGAAGATGGACCCCTAAAAAGAGATCGTACGCATCCTGCCGTGGCCCATCACTAAAATTGTTACGGAAATATCGGGTGATAGAGCTCGATAGATCCGCAATAGCTCCAGCCTTTGTTCGTACTCCGGTTCTTGTGAGATCAGTCTTCAGTGCCCCAGTGCCAGAATACGTCTGGCTCACAACATCCGCATTGTCAGCCCATACTAAAGTAAGAAGCACAATATCCTGTCAGTAGAATTCCACTCTTCCACCAAGCCCTGTACGACGATCTCCGACTCACCGCTCCTGAATATGACCTCAAAGCTATTGAAGGATGCGGTATTTTCTCCCTCCCCAAGAACACCAGCATCAACCATCTGGCGATTCAGGGTTCGCCGGGCTAGCATGCTCTGCACGACGTTTGTCCTGTCCAGGCAGTCCATGCAGTTAGTCCTAACAACGCTCGTCTGATAGCTCCGAATGTCACTCGACACAAATTTTCCCTCAACAGAATGAAAATATTGTTGATCGTATAGGCCACCACCTAGCTGTTCGAGAAGTAGCTGTGCCCTGTGCCATTCCATTCCTCCGCATTCATGGTGAAAGTCAAAGTAAACATAGTGCAGTTGGTCTGGTATATCAGTCCTTTTGGTGGGCTCGATTCTTCGAAACTTTTCGGGTGTTTTCTTAGAGCCCTCTTTTCCTTTTACGTGTGAGGATACAAGCAGCTTGACAATGTGTTCATACGCTGCTTTAACTCTTTGCTCTCGACCTTTCTGGTTTACCAAGTTAACCAGATAGTTATCTCCATATAATCTGATCTGGTGATCGAAATGCTTTCTTGCCGAGTTCATCGCAGAATCTACACCCCTGACCTGGAGCTCCGGGGTATAACGCAAGTTGTTTACCTCTGCCCAGTACACCGGCACACTTCCCCTAGTTTGAACAAAACTGAAAACCTTGGCTTGTTGGGTTGAGGCCTTGCCTCCCGATGCTAATGAGTATTGGTCATATCCTCCAAGACCACCAGTAGAGCCGCCAATGATGACGATCTGCTCAGTTTCATTGAAATTTGCAACGTTTCCAGACTCATCCACTCCACGTGTAAAGTACCTAGTCCCTGCTCTATGTCGCGACCTTCGAGTGATAAGAATGAAACTCAACGGGGTGGACTTAAGCGCAGTCAGTGTAATGCTAAGGAAGCCAAAGAAGACGGGGAGGATGAACGGGTCCGCCTGATAAAGTTAGTGCCCTGTAAACGCGACATGCTGCCTGTTCAAGCTGGAGAAGCTTAATTCATGTGAAATAGGCACTCAGGGCTATGTTTAGAACGAAAAATAGTCCATGGCGGAAGTGGTAAAATTTGGGGGTGTCTTACAGCCGGGTTTGAACTGCGGAGATCAATCAAGTCTGATTGTATGTACCGATTCCAGAAAAAACGTTCATCCGCCTGGGTGCCCCTCGAGGGGGTCAAAAATTAGCACCTCCCCCAGCCCCACGGATTCGATAAAAGTTTCGGTAACGGGAAGCAGGACATACCTGCTGCCAGAGGGGAAGTGAGGTATCAGCGGAGGACTGGCGCTGGAATGAGTTTGTCAAATCGAAGGTATACGAAAAATACATGGGCCCGGTACGTAGGTGAGTGCGTAAAAGTGACAAGTAGGTATCCTCGTCTGGGTCCTAAAATTAACGGTCAACACCCCAATCTTAGTTCGGCCGTATCACCTTGACTCGATCTCGTCAGGTCCAAAATCAGGATCAAAAGACGTACGTGCAACTGTCTTTCCTGTAAGGGCAGAAATTCAGTAGTGTGGACCTTATACACGGCATGTCCTCGGATACGCCCGACCAGCACAGCCTTGGTTATAATGATGATATACTTGTCTACGTGATATGGATGGCAGATGTCAGCTCAGAAACCCTAGACAGAGCTCTACGATTTGCAGCGGCTGAACCTGGGGCACTCTGCATATTCGGTCTCAGAGATGCCGAACAAGCGAAAGAGGGCCCACCAAGACGCAGTCGAATAACTCCTAGGACTCCGGCAACGTTGCCTATCCGCTTCCCCCTTGAAATTGGCGACTCAACGAGACGCATGTCCCCGGAGGGACGGTCAACCACAAGAGCCGGTGCATTTGGAGAGGAGGGTGAACCGAAAGCGTAGCGTGACGGTGATGTCGTGATGTTGATATCACAAAAGGGATTAACGGGAGCCATGGTGACCTGAGCTGTTGACGGAGAAAGGTGGGCCTCATGAAAGAGTGGTTAGCTGGGTCTTTGGTGGTTATTGCTCGTTGGCTAACGCATTGGGGCTGGGATCAAACGAGGGGATGACAAGGGTTGAGGAGAGTTTAATGAACGGTGAGGGTGGAAGGAATGCCTGTGGTTCAGAGAATTCTACTTGGAAGCTCTAACGTTAAGTGGGCATCAGGGGGATTTTCGCAAATAAGAATTCAGGATCTTTCGTGTCGTTGTCAAAGCAACAGGTTACAAGGTAGAGCCCTTTTGCCATCTTTCTCATATTATGTCCTTGGTTATGGTACAATGGTAAAGTCGTGTCTAATAAGTCGTATTATTCATTGCCAAAGTTTACCACGTACTCAAAACTTTCATCTTGACAACCCTGCTCTCCCCACCAAACCCATCACAATAATAATGAAATTGTTTTTTTTTTTTAAAAAAAAAGTAATTACATAGTAGAAATCAATATTTGGTATACCATCCATCTGCTTTGAGAATTGTTTCTATTTTATCCACAATTGATCCTGCTAGAGAATCAAAGATCATTGGATTAAGAAGTTCTTAATAATAAGTAATTGCCTCCTCAATTGCCTTTCTGACCTCATCATCAGAACTCCTCCCAAGAAACAGCTCAGAATAATACTTCAGACGATAATCTTTTACTGGAGACCAAACATGTTCAATTACATTTAGATCTGGTGAAGAGGTAAGAATTTTTATTACAGAAATTCCCTAACTTCTGAGCCATTTTATAAAGGAAGGGTGTGTTCTAGTGTTGTTAAGAGTGGGAGAGCACCTCTTCCTCTGTAATCCTTTCTCTGATATTCTTCCATGTTTCTAGAAAGTCAGATGCATTAGAAATATTAATAATTAACTTCCCAGTAACTCCATTACTAGTAGAATATTAGGAGTACCAGGATCTGATATCCAGGAACCACTCTAAGTAGGGTAAACCCACTCAGAATCAGAATTTCATGAAGATATAATATTAAATATTAGTGAATCCAAATAAGGAGCCAACACATTCACATCCACTTCATGATAATTGTGAGAGTTAAGAACCCGTAGAAAACACTACCGAAGAAGCCAATGGGCTTCACAAAATGTTACAACTAGGTTAGTAGATGTGTCTTAATTACGAGAATTATTACCAACACTGTATATGACCAACCCTACTATCTAGAAGAATCAGGAGCTGCCAACCAAGGGATTATCTACCAGTCCAATAGAATGGCATCCTGTGAATCAGTAGGAAGTTATTCAGAAGAAATGCATCAGTAGGAACAGGTGTTATTAAGATTTAAAGTTGGCAACCAAGGAAGATTGCATATATGACTTCTCTTGTAAAATACAGACTCAAGATGAAACTGATTCTTTCAGTGATGGGAAAAACCATTGGGACTAACATAGTTCAACTTGAGAACAAGGCCATAAGTCTACAAATTCTGACCATTAGGTAATTACTATTAGAAGTAATAAATTTCTCCAAGAAATAAAATGGTAATTAACAATGATGTTGTGATGGTTTTTATGATGTCTAGATATTTGCACTTTTGGAGAACAAGCAATACTGTAAGTTATAACAGAGAGGGACATAATTTGTAAATGGGATAGGTAAAGTCTATGAATACTTAGATGGGGGAATATAAAGTTCGAAGTGCCTCCCAACCTTTTAGACATTATTAAGCATTAAAGTTACCTTAACAATATACTATTCTTTACATGATTCGATTCTACCTTACCTTACTCGCAGTAGTCAAAAATGAAATAAGTAATCCTCAAGCCTCTCTAGATAAAACTCCATCTACTGAAACGAATCTCGATTGGCGTAGACTATACTGTATCTTTACAGGTTGTCTCTGCCTAAGATAAAATTACAATTACAAAAAGAAGGTAATAAAAGACTATAAGTTTAACTATAAAAATAGCAAGTTATTATCATGTTAAATTATTGCTTCTATTCAAGCAGCATGTTTAACACAATTATTATTTCATTTCTGTTTTAAGTATTTAAATAGTTAGTTTCTCTACTCATCTCCTCTTCTCTTGTTAGGAATACTGGGATCTGATACCTAGAAACCACCCTAAGTAGAGTAACCCTACTTTAAATTAGAATCTCTGGACTTCAACACCTCCCTCTGGCCCCCTTACTGGACCTGCATATCATCATATGTTCTTATCTTGATTGTGTCCTGTGACTATAAGGCCACAGAACTAAAGGTATAGTAATAATAGTATATATATTGTTGCTATCCATCTGACTGGATCCTGTTTTCAGGTTATATAAGAGGGGCCCTTCGGCTAAGCCATGAAAGTAGAGCGGCGTAAGTCTGACATCTACTCTGTGAGTTACTAGACTTCAAAGTTGTTACAACCTGACTATGAGCCGTAGGTAAAGGGACATTTTAACAAAAAGAGGTGGTATTAAATGTTAAAAGATCATTGTAAGTGGTCGATACATTTGAACGCACCCTATGATAATGTAATAATCCCTCCTTGGATAGTTAGTTCTTGGCAATGGGGAACGATACTTCTCTTCTTCTGTTTCCCTTTTTAGTCTTATGATAGCACTAGGCCTCTGCCTAGGTTACTGATTGTACAAGACCTCTGTCATCTATCAGGAATGCCTATCGTAAGCTTTCTCTAACTCTTCTTCATGAAGAGCTCTCCTTGGATAATGATAACGTTGCAATAAAGATAAAGATTGTAAAGGTGTTTTTATATTTGTTAAAGTAATAAGTAGGAAAAGTACATAGAAGTTAATCTAATTTTATTTAAACTCGTACCGCCAACACTGGCATACGACGAGCCTCCGCCGGCACAGGGATACTGCTAACCAGTATACCACTAATCCTAAGCTAACCAAGTCTACGGTCCCGCACTTGCCATCCCGGAGTCATGCCTGTACGAGAACTAATTACAAAACTATCAAACAACCCAGCGCCTGCCCCGGTCCTAGTCCATAGCCCCTCTAGTATGAAGCCAACCAGCACTAAGCATAGTCGAAGCCGAGCAAAAGACTGACCCAACCAGGTTCTTCGTCAAACAAAATATAAAATCACTACCACCCAGTCTGAACATCATCCCGCAAAACCTCCACCACAGTAGAAAACCAACAAAACTAAAAACAAATATAAGCTACAGGCAATACAATGGCAGAGAGGAGGTGACCAACATGTCCACCTCTCGCATCCGCATTCCCGGCCGTCAACTCTATGAACCCACTTTGCCAAGTGCTTCCGAAGAGCGTAAAGGTGAGGAGAACCTGTACCCGCTGCCTGTCTCCCAAAAAACAAAATCCATAAACAAAAGAAATAAATAGAGGTGGTGACAGACCGAAATGGTCAGTGGGGCCTATCTCCCACCCGTAGTGCCCTGCTCCTGCCAGCCATGCCCACTGCCAAACTAAAGAAACCAAACAAACTCCATAATACCCAGCACGCACAACCTAAACAAGTCCAACCAGGTGGTCGCAACCCACTATCCACACAGGTGGCCATCAGCCAGGCCAGGTCGCAAGGGAGCTTTACAGCACTCAGCAGCTTCACCTCAACAGTCCCAGCAGGCCGGAAACACTTAATTAGACATCGCCCAACCTGAAACATGTCCACCAGTGCTTGCAGGTGCCTCTCCCCTCTCAATCAGCCCCCCCCAAGCCCCACGCACCAGATACTACACAGCCCATCCAGCCCCTTCAGCCCCTCGGACAGGTCAACCATCCGATAGCCACAGGACAGCTTTTACCTAGCCCCGACAGATAGCCACTGGCCTTGGCCACCCAATAGAGCCACCACACTCAACTCCATACCAGCTGAGGGAAGCCCACCAGCCAAAGCCAGGAGCCAAAAAGGAGGCAGCACCAATACCTGAAAGCACCAGCACCAGCGACACCCTTCAACCCAACCGGACCGAAGTCTAACCAGGCCGGGAAAAAGTCAGGAAGAACTAGCCGAAGTCAGCCCCACAGGTCCAGCAAATGCACGGACAAAACATTAGGCAGGAGGCACTCCCAACTAATGCGATAAGAAGGAAGGGGCAAGGGAAACTGAAACAGTCAAACAGAAGGTAGGTTCCACTTGCAATGGGTGAAGCCGCCAACCACAAACCATAACCGAACCAATCCAACGCACAGACAATACGAGTGTCGGGCAGCCAATCATCCCACACCACCCCAGGTAGTCATAGATAACCACACCAGGGGGCAGAGTCTTTCAGGGTCAAAGCCATCCCCACCAAGGCAGAGAGGAGACACCGGACTGAACCACCGTAAATGCCACAAGAACAAATCTCTAAGGGAATAGTGATAAACAACGTCGTAGGATTTCCGACCGTAGAAACAAGTGTAACAAGTAGGGGCGGGGCCGGCGAGGCCCCGTTCCCAGTGGATTGATGCAGCTGGTACGACGCGTTAATACTTGGGAAGGTCATCAGTCTAACCCAAGGGCGTTTTGTATTGCGAGAACTAAGGACTCCGTTAAAACCCAACAAAGGACATGAGCTGGCCCAAAGAACAACACAGGTGATGCCGCCAAATACAATGTTCAATCTCCCCAATCGAACGCGAAACCTGCGAGTAGACGATAGACAGGAAGCCTTAGACATTTTACCAAACGGGGCTCGTATGCGACCATGATGAAGTGCTTGAAGTGGCAGCATCTTGAGAAACCATCAGGTGACGAAACGAGAAGCAAACAAGCAGCCGCCACACAACACCTAACAGACCTCAACACCAAAGACCCCAGGAACTACTGAGCGAACTCAGATATCTCCACCAGAATCCAAAGCATCAAGGCCTATCATGAGTGCGAATGAATCGCTCAGGGCGAAGCAACGGCAAGGATGAGGAAAAGTACTTAGAACAAAGCATGAAGAACCTATCCTCCTCAGCCGCATCGGCCTCCATATATAGTGTCCTTCCCGCCCATAGTCATCTGACCTAGAGTGGTCACATGTGCGAAACCAAATCATAACAAACT